ATATATACTATATCCAATCATCAGTCATAAAAATGTAATTAAGGAAGAAGACGTGTTACGCGAACATCTAATAATATACGCCTCTCTGAAGCGCATCTAAAGAAGAAAAAAAAAATATATAAATATCACAATAGGTCTTGGTTAATAGAGATCATAAGAAAATTTCTTATATTCTAGAGAGCTGTTGTAATAAATTAGACGGCAAGACAGTTTCTAACTTATCCAAAATATAATAAAAAGGATGAGAGAACCAAGCGAGCATTGCTCGTGCTACTACACCCATCGTATCGGGATACTGATGAGTCAGCAAAGCTAAGAGTGCTGTAAAGGAGCACAAACCGGCTGTAAATAAAATAAAAAATGGCAATTCTTTTTTCGGATAGACGCTGACATCATGGAAAGTAGGTAAAAGTTCTCGATCTGCACACTCGGTACATGTTGGATATGGATAAAACAAATGTCCCCTTTCCAAAGGATATGGTAGCATTCTGAATGTTCCTTCCCATGTACAGTGTAATAAATTTAAAGCACCTTCCATTTGTTTCCAATGTGCAAGATGGAAAAATGCATAAGCTATAGCTTCTGAATCTCCTCTTTTTAAAACATGCTCGGGTGGTAAGATTAAGGGTTTCATTTCTAATAAATATTTTGGTACATGAGGATTGAATTCTACTGCTCTATGAATAGCTTCTACCGCAGACATTTCTGCTGTGGTTAATCCTCTTTTGCTAGCTATATCTGGTGAAAACTTATCAGCGACCAATCTTGCCTTTAATAATGCAGCTGTGTAACATATAGTGGCTGATTTTGGTAGACTTATGTCATCGTATTTTGCTAAAACAGCTTGAACATCAGCATATGCTTGCATTTCCAATAAAGCTTCTATTAGATTTTCGTGGATATTCAAAACATTCATAATTGGTGGTACTTCTTTCGTTAAATCTCTGAACATTTTTACTGCTTCTTTCAATTTTCCAAGTTTCCTCGCACACATAGCCAAACGTCTTTTAATATAAATAAGTACATTTGTGTCTCTTCTATGTATCGTTTCTGCAATAGAGCCTTGATGTTGCGTACTTTGAGATTTTCTATAATTACTTTCTGCTACTTTCAATGCTTGTTTTAAAATCTTTTCTGCTTCTACAATTGTAGTAGCTTCTTCTTCGGCGAGTAAAATATAAGCTGGTGCACAATCTGGGTTACTTTCTAAAGCACTGTGCGCAGCTTTTATTCTAATTACAGGATTCCGTTCTCTCCAAGCTGTTTGCATAATTTCATATTCATCTTTACCTATATGATATGATCAATTAATATAAAAACAATGTGCCATTTTATATCTAAGTTTTGTCAACTATTACTTATAAATATATACAATAGATTCTTTTATTATATTTACCTGTATCACCTTCGCAAGTAAAAAATGTTTGATGATCTTGAGCAGATAAATTCATATCATAATATGTTAGAGGCTCTTTGTTAGTGGCCCAGAAAAATCTTTGATATTCTGCACCCCTAAATAAATTAATTGGATTACGCCAAACTTTACATTCAGGAACATTTTGTTGATTGGAACCATTGGAATTATTTAATGTTGAGTTAGCGTTATCAGCTCCACTGTCACCTCCACCAATCCAAGGTGAAATATGATTTAAAGATACTTGTTCGATAAAAGAAGTACCATATTTTCTGAAGTACCACCATTCGAATATGAGAATAAGGCCGGATATTAATGATGATGTTCCTGTCAATGCTACGTAGAATTTCGGGGTTAGGGTGCTCAGGAACATTGAGGAGTCCCACATACTTGTAAATAAATGTGCCATTTATGTGACTGTCAACGTTGTTGGCAAATATATCTTAAATCTGTGTGTTGAAACTTTAGAGAAATAATATATTATTGATGATTACATCAACTGCCATACAAAATAAAAAACACACGTCAATAAATTTTATACAATAATAAATTTCTTACTTTTTATTTCAATTGTATGATTAATAAAATAAGTTTTGCAATTTATTGTTATGGATTTTAATAATATAAATACATGTTTACAAAGATAGAACTCGTAAATATTCTCGTTCGAGCAATGAAAGCTCTCAAAACTTATTTCGAAATCTAGTACATTTCGATGTATGGTAATTTTGCACTGTTGCTTTCAAGAAATTTCGATTGAGAAATATAGTGATAAGGATTATTTTGCAAATATAGCATATATCAATATTTGACGGTTCAAATTATTATTCAAATAACTATATTTTATATATAATTAACGAAAATTCCTTTTTATGCACTTTAAATTTAGTAAAGAATCCAAAATATATTATAAAATAAATTTTATATTAGTCGACATTAATCAAACGTGCGTTAACCAATCAGAAAGAAGTTTTTTTATTGATCTTTCAAAGCGTAAAACTGATTGGACGATCATTGGGTGCTTTCAATAGAGAACGAAAATTTAAATTAAATACAATTAAGAATTAATTTTTTATAAATTGTATTTTTGTTTATTTAATAATTAATAGTAAATACAAGAAAAGGTATAATTATATACTTTGTTGAATTAAAAATAATTAGTATTGTATTCAGAATTGTGTAGTAATTATATATATATATATGTTTACAAAAATAATAACACATTTAACGTATGTTTACATTTTATTATGTGTATTAATTAACACAGTGGAAATAAATGTTATTTAAAGAATTATTCTTTTTTCGTAAGCAGTTAAATAAATGATAATTCAAAACGCATATTTTTAATAATTAATTATTGAATGAGAAAGAGAAAATAATGAAGAAAAGAAAAGAAGTAGAACAAAAAAAAAATAAAAATGAAAGACAAAAATTGATTCAATTCTACAATGTTATTTCAATATATTGAATTTTATTACAAAATGTTTGCATTTAGGCTACAACATGTAATATAATAATTGCGTTTGGTCTAGACCCTTATCAAAACAAAAGCTAAACTGCACCACATTTTCTATCGTCTTAGCAAGACACTTTTTTTTTCTTCGGTTTACGTTTCAAGGAAACACGTTCTATTTAAATGCGAATAAATCTACGCGCGATTTAAATTATCCAGATAAAAGACGACTATACACAATCGGGTATCCTCTCCAACGTTGAATCTTTGTATCACAACGTACACGAAATATTAAATATCTCACTAAATGCAAATACGTTTCGACTAATAGCAATATTCATTATAATATTCGTATTAGATACATCTTTTCTTTTTATCTTGTTTAAAGGTAAGAGACATCTGAGTATGGATCTATATAGAACATAATATTCATAATGTATTTATATATAAATCGAGATACTGCATCATCTCGATGAATAACGGGAGAACAATTAAGAATTAATTGAAAATTATTTCACTTTAATAAACGCGACAGAGTAATGATGTTTTACGTAAATTATGAACTAACGAGGAGCTCAGGCATATACGTATGTATTTATATATACGTATACGTATATATATATATATGTATTTATGTATGTATGTATGTGATTCATTTTCCTTGAAGCGCACCCTAAGAACGAATGGTCCAAAGACATGTGTTCTAAAGAAGAATAAGAATAAGACGATAATAGATCTCGTATTATCAAACTGCGTACAACCGAAAAATACATATAGGTGTAAAAAATAATCAAATGAGCGGTAGTAAAATACCCTCTCTACTACGTTATACGGTGTGCACGTGTATAAACGTTCAATTACGTTTTGTCCTCCAAACGTTTTTTTTTTTCGAAGTAAAAGGAAACTATCCCAAGCAGCTAATTCTAAGATAATGTAATATCCTTTTTTTTGTTTATATAGCTTCTATTTATATTTAGGTATGCACGTATGTGTGATAACTAAACAGATACATGGTTTTTGCAAGTGTTATGTCTATTGTTTATAGACATATCAATGCATTAAAGATCAGGAGGCTGGATGAAATCGAATGAAATAATATAATAAAATAATAAATTGCCTTTAACAAAAAAAGAAAAAAACAACCCTTCTCTTTAAACGATTGTATCTGTTCAGTAAACACCATTCACCGACCAAATTCCATTTAGGCCTTCCTCTTGATCAAAAATATTTAATAATATCAGATTTTATTCTGATTTCATTTACAAGAAGAACACCTAAACGTTTGTTTTTCTTTAGTTTCAAGTAAAGAAACAATAGCAAAATCTTCACATTCATTCTTGAATATATTTCTATATTCTTCTCTCTTACTCACACTTTCATTCATAATTATCTTTTATTATACTCTACGTAATTATTCGTTATCTTTACGCAAATAATAACGAATATTCTTAATAATTCATGCTCGATTAATTTATTTAAGGAACAAAATAAGTCCCATTACGGTTGTACGTGCTTAAAATTTTTGTGAATTATACATATACGTACATGTTATTATGTAGTTTCATTGCACGCAAGATTATAATAAAATTTCTGTTTCATTCCATATATATATAATTCCTCCTTAACTTTGCCGATTATATTAATATCGTTAATATATATATATATATATATATATATGTATATGTATGTATGTGTGTTTGTGTTTTGTGTGTTATATGAATATCGCTTTTTAATAATAGTTTTTTTTTCTCACTTTTCGTAGAACGCGCACAGCAGCCTCCTGTTCTCTAATGTATATATAACTATATTTAATGATTTAATCATAAAATTATCAAGTAAAATTTGTAAAATACAATACATACTAAATCCTATCATAGAATTCTTAATCTTTCTTTATAAATAATTATAGTAATAGTCTTCACACCATTTGTTAATTTATAATAATCAGATATCATTTCTTCTTCTTTTTTTCTTCTTCTTCTTCTAATTAATTTAAATATTACAATTTGTGCCCTTTGCACTAATTCATTTTATATAGTATTTTGCTTGACTATATTATATGATACACGTAATATATAATCTAAAGAACTTACGGTATTTACATATGTACACGTAACAACGGCGCAAATTTGTCAATAATATTTTTTTTCTTTCTTATTCTTTTTGTTTTTAATAAGATTATTAACGTTTGTTCAACGAGGAATGCATTGATCGTAAAAAGATGCACCTGATTAGAAGAAATGAGTTCGAAAACGAACGGGAAAAGGTTAAAATTCTAATCAGATCAGTCTCCTTAACGAATGTTTCTACAATACATTCAACGTTGAACAAAGTTATGGTCACTTACTTTTTATATTAATTCAATCGAACTGAAACTAATTACAAAAAGCTTATAATCCTTAAAAAATAGGCTCCATTGTTAACGATTCGGACATTTCTCCAAACTTTATTACACTTGACCAACCTCGGGTTGTTTAGTTTCTACGACTTCTTTTTTATGTTTCAGATCCAAAGTGCAAAAGCTTTTGTTGTTTTTCTTTTTTGAAACGACTACTTGCTGAAGAGGACCAAGAGAAAGACGATCCTAACTTCTATTTTACACATTCTTATATACTGTAGACGTTAACATACGCGTATAAAACAACACTAGATAGTATTATATCATTACATTATGTAAATACTTCCATCAATTCATTTTCAAATACCATGATGTATGATATAACTACGTTTAACCCGTAACTACAATTTGAATAATTGTAAAATACGAATTTTATCGTCCAATCGACCCTTACTTTGATACGATTCGTATAACGAATTAGAACGTTCTTCAAGAATAGAGGCACACCAATGGTTCATTTGTTATCTATTTTCTATGCGTTTAACGAAGCAGATCTATAACGAAAAACAATAATATAAATAAATCTCAAATTTTCTGCGTATTGTATATTTTTCGTTTTGATCATTACTGCAATTTTTGATCTTGTCGCTATATGTATATATTCTCTACGTCACACGATTTTATTAGATTTTAAGTGAATACGTTTAAATATAATAATACCTTATCCTATTATAAAAAAGTATAGCGAACGATCTGCTTCGTTTAACGAATTATCAAAAGTAGAAAACAAATGAACAATTTAATATGGATCTGTCACTTCTTTGAAGTTTCAGGAACAAGAACCTCAAGATAAGGATTGATTAATGCGATGGTACCTACGGGCTAAAATATATCAATAGGATATCAGAAACCTGTCTTTCTCAAGATTCTTCTTTCTATGCAAGAGCCGAGATCACTTTAAGAAGGAGAACTAAAACGTAAATCCTGCATAAAGGATTTATACTTAAAAAACGTTTTAGGGTTGGCCAAGATTTCACTCATGCTACGAATCCAAATCGTCCTCCCTCTGGCTACTGAAATAAGACACCAAACCGCCAAATTCCCCAGTACCTTCATCGTCGTATTGTTTATTTGCAACAGTAGCCGGGTCATTAGGATGCGTTTGCGATGGTTGTTGTGGCTGCGGTGGTTGAGACGGTGGAGGTTGCGGTTGCGGAGGTGCTTGAATCTGCGGCTGATTATCCGCGGGAGACGAAAAATGTTCCGTAGGATAGGGCGAACCTTGATAAGCTGCTGCATCGTCCGCCGTAGACATAGGCGGAGGAGGAGGATAAGCACCGTAGTGATAATTGGGTGGTGGAGGTGGATGATACGGCGAGAAATTTCCTGGCGGTCTATTTGGAGGTGGAGAAGGTTGTTGCAACGCGTGGTTAGCCGGCGAGGCATTCGTAAATGGTGGCATCTGATGCCTCGGTCCCATAGGATTATCGGTAAACCTGGAGATCGGTGGACCACCTCTTACGTAAGAAGGTGGAGGTGGCGTTGGTCCACCTTTAGCCAATGGACTACCGGCTGCAGGTGGTATCATGGGTGGAGGACCCGGTGCCAAAGGAGAACTGCGGTCTCGACTACTTATGGATATAGGACCACCACCTGATGGAGAGGGATCCATAGGATGATGAGGCGTATGATACATTTGTCCTGGAACTCTCATTCTCATGGGTGGTGTGCCAGACCTTACAGCCGCAAAATGAGGTGGCATGGAAGTTTGCCCTGGCTGTCTGTATGGCGAAGGTATCCTACCGCGTGGCTGCATCTCATAACCAGTTCGTGGACCTGTCATCATTTGTCCAGTTGCATTTGGAGCACCGAAATATTTATGACCCATTGCAGCCGCCGCTGCTGTGAACGACTGCGGATTATTAGACGACACCGGTTGTGACTGCAACATCCTCGTGATCACGGAAGACTGTTGACCGGGCGGAAGAGATGAATAGACAGACTGCGCGTTCGGTTGCGTCGAAGGTGGCAACTGCGTGGGTACGCCGCTCGCTGGTGGTGTGGACGGTGCCGAGCCGGAAGTACTGCTACCTGGAGTGGGAAGTACGTTTGGGATATCGCTCGACTTAACTTCTGGATTCGAATCCGTGCCCATGCCGAGCAAACCAGCTTCAGCCGCGGCTTTTGCTGCTGCTTCCGCGGCCCTGGCAGCTTCGAGAGCAAGAGTTTTCTTACCCTTGCCACGACCTCTCCGTTTTGGCTTCATCGGTGTTCCGTCGGGATTGAAGAGCTGCCCATCTGGTCCTGTCATCATTGGAATATGCCCTTCAGGTGTCCTGTCGGCCTCAGGTGTGATGACTGTGGGTAAGTTAGGGTTTATATTAGGTGATACGTTACTCGATACATCCATTCCAATCAAGTTGCTGCTGTTGGCTGCCATAACACCTGGACTCGTATTTGTCAATCCAGGAGATCCCAAAGTTGGAGCTCCACCTCTTCTCATCTGTTCGGCAAGTATTTCAGCTTTACTACGACGACCTCGTTTCTTTTTCTTAGGTACTTCTCCATCGGTTCCTTCGGGAGCGTTTGGATCTCTCTGTCTTTCAGCAGCCAAAATTTCTAATGCTTTTAACCGTGCTTTCTCTAATTTTTTAGCTTCTCGTTCTTCTTTCTTCTTTTTCTTCGCTATTTCGACAGCCGCTAACTCCAACTGCCGTCTACCATATTCTTCATCCTCCATCATTATTTGTTCTAGTTGTTCGTCGTCTAAATCTGCCAATTCTCCGGGTCCAAGACCTCCCAATGAACCTTCTGGAACATCTCCGGTGAAGGAACTAGCTACTGATATTGTTGTACCCGTCAATCCAACATTATCCGGAAGACCTTCATCGATTTTCGACGTTAATTCTCCCATTGGATTATCCATTGAATGAGATAAAACATCTTTATCATCTAAGTGCGGGCCATCTGTCGATCTTATTACCGAACCCATTAATAGTTTCTCTTTTCGTGCTTTGTTCTTACTTCCAGGTTTTGGTCCAGGCTTTTTCCTCGGTTTCGGAACTCCATCAACCAAAGTTTTGCGATTTGCCGCAGGACTTTTACTTTTTCTTGGTTTTTTACTTTTTGGCGATTTATTTTTCATTTTTGTTGCTTCTTTTTTAGGAGTGTAGATATCTGTTGAACAAATACATTTACAGGTATTAGTAAAATACATATATATATAGATATGCTAAAATATTAAATGAATTTATTACGTCATGCATACGTTAGATATTTACGCCAATGGTTTTCTTCTAGTTAGTTTTTAGGTAGCTATTTTGAGAATAGAATAAACACGTTTCTCACATATTAAGAAAAAATACATGGTTTTATAAAAGGTAAAAACGATCTTCTTATAAATGTAAATAGATATTCTAGGATAAGCGTAGATGTTTTTTTGTATAGGTAAAAAAGTAAAAGAAATATAATCTTTTGTTACTCTGAAGAAGAAAGAGAATATGTGAGTGTTATGTATGTGTGTGTGAGAACATGGGTGATATCATAAAGGTCGATATAAAACAGTGTGAATAAATATGATGAGTATAAAAAGTTGGAAAATTTAGCAAGATAAACAAACAAAAATTTACCTGAATCAGAATCTTTTTCTGCGTCTTCGTTTATGTCATCTGTTTCATTAACAACAAATTCGTCTTCGCTTTCTACAGTTTTCCTAATAGCTTTTTTTAATTCCTGTAGCAAGAAATAAAATAGTATTATTAATTATTTATTGATTAATTAAAACACTACAGATTTCAAAAGTTAATTCATTATAAATATCATTTATAGAACAAATACCTCCTCGCTATCCGTTGCTGTTGCTTCTTGATAATTGACCTTACGACCTCGTCTACGACTACGTCTATCTAATATTTCTTCCTCCTCCTGTTTATTATAATTATCGTCTGGTAAACCACCGTATATAATCTGTAAATAGAAAAGCAAAAAATAAGCCAAATAAAACAAAAATAATCTATAAAAGAAAGCAATATTCAAATAAAGTTACCTTGCGTCTAATAGTTGGAGCCTTTTTCTGTTTGGGTACATTTTCCTAGAAAATATTTATATTATTATTATATAATACTATGTACTTACTAAATTTTTTTTATTTATTTATCTATTTGTATACTAATATGTATATTCTAACTGGATACTAAGTAAAATAGATTATTAGACCATAATTTATTTATGAACGTATTTATTTACTTTTTTCTTTTTTTGAGCTGCAATTTCATCGATTTGTGGAAGAACCAATGTGTCCGTATTTGTAACAGTATTTTCTATCAGCTCTGTTTTCACAGCATCAGTAGTATTGTGCGTATTCTCGGTATTTTCGACATTTTCAAGATCAGCAATATTCTCTACGTTTTCAACCTTACTAGACACCACTTCTTCACCTCCTTCTTGGAGAACGGTATCTACATTTTCAGACGTATAATTATCATTGCTTCGTGGCTCTTCTTCCTCCTCGTTATCACTTTGGTTATCTGACTCTATTATACGTTTTCTCTTTTTTTTCTTTTTACTTTTTATTTTAGAAGTTGTCCTGTATCTTGAAGTTGGTATAGTTCTACTCCTAAAAGCAGTACATGATTTTAATGTATTATTGCTCTGTAACATTATATTCTTTAATATTACTTGTACAATATTACATTAAAAAAAAAGCTTACTTCTTTTTTCTTTGTCTCCAAGAATTGTCACTATCTTCGCTATCTGAATTTTCCCATACAGATCGAGATTTTTTCCTTTTTGGTCTATCACTCTCATCACTATCATCATTAACTATAATAACACGAGAATCATATAAATGATTAAATTCTATATTTAAAAATAAGTATTATTTAGAAAATAATGTAATGTATTACATAGGGTGGGAGTCCAAGAATATCAAAAATAAAGAACTTTAGAGAATATTATAATAAATCTCGACAAATCAGCAATAAATACCATATTAATATAACCTAAATACAATAATTTCCCTTTGGAAAAACACAAACTATTTTAAATCAGAGATTAACATTGATAAAATGTTATTTTCTTTGAAGAAACATTTCAAAAGGACATAAAGAAAACCTTACAGCATATATTATATTAAAACAAACTTACTAAAGTCTGGATCATAGGTAGTCGTTATTCTGGCTCTGGTAGATCTTCTAACAGGACGTGAATCTCCTCTTCTACCACGACGCCTAGAATCAGTAAAACTACTTTCGTCTGATGATGTCATATGATCGTCAAAATCTTCTTCGTCATCCGAACTAGTTCCTTTGAAATCTTCGTCACTTTCTGGATCATCCTCGCTGCTTATATCCAAGCTATTCAATTTACGATGCTTCCTTCGTGCTAATAATCGTTTATTAACTCTTTTCCTTTCTTCTTCCTCCTCATCGACTTCTTCCTTTTCTACTTTATATTCCTCGTCGCTTTCTCTTTCAGATTTCTGTTCAAGATCGTTTTTATCATCATTTACGTCCTTCGTTTGCAATGCTTCAACTTGTTGATGAAGCTTTTTATGAAAGAAATAAAGTCAGAGTTAAAGGATTTCATTCACATATCTTATACATTAGATCAAATATTTGTTTGTTTTGATTTACTAACCTGTGCTTCTTCTTTTTCAGCATTAACTATTGTCGCGATGTCTTTACCTCTTCCCTGATTACCAGCACCTTGGACAGCTTCAACTTCATCTTGAATTGCAGCATTAATCATATCATCATATTCGTTAAATTTGTAAGTATTTGCGCAACGTCTTTCTCGTAATTGATAAACCGGTTCACTTTCTTCACTGCTAGATGTTTCCGAACTTGAAGCAGATGATGATTGTTCCGATGAAGACTCTTTAAATAAAATAGAAATAATGAATACAATGTTTTATAAATGTTTCATAAATACAAAAATATCTTAATAAATTTACCATTTTCAGATTCTTGGCTTGATTCTTTTAAATCCTTTTGAAGACGTTGTGTTTCATTCTTTTGTAAGACGTTATCTAAACTTATACCAACAAAGGCCAACCTTTTTTTTCGTAATACTTCATTTTCATGACGTTTTGACAATTGATCATATGTCTTTAAATTTTCACGTAATTTAGATACCAATATATTCTGTTAATTAATACAACAAAATTAATATTATTGTATATATATATATAATTATTTCTAATTAAATTTTATATTAAAAATGACTTACATGTTGACATGGTGGACAGAACCAATCACCTTCTGGGATTAACATGAGTGCAGGCCTCAAACAAGAGCAATGCCATCCTTTATCACAAGAATCACATAAAAGAATCCATTCGGGATGATCAGCCTTGCCACATTTTTGGCAAGCATATTCATCATCTGCTTCTTCAACATCACTTTGAGCTACGAAAATATAAACATTTATATAATTTATATTTCAAAGTATTTCATCTCGATTTTAAAATTGCAAGATTATTTTTGTAGATTCTATTTTTATTTTAATATTAATACCTTTTTGAGCAGTTCTAGCTCTTCTTAATGGTTCGGATTCCTGATCTTTTTCAAGGTCACTTTCTGGTGAAAATTCGTGATCACTTTTGAAAAGTAAAGATCCTTCAGTTTCTATTTCCTCTTCCTCTTCTTCATCTTCATTGTCAATATCATTATCAGAACTAGAACCAGATGAACTTTGCCATGGATTAGCTTCGTTAAATTTTGCAAGCATTTTCTTCTTTTTTCGCTTTTTTCGTTTTCGATTGGATTTTATATCCTTATCGATTTCTTTCATCGTAACTTCTTCTTCACTTTCGTTCTGTAAAATACATATATATATATATATATATAATTTACAATAATGACAAAATAAATAATTTAAATGAACACTTTTTCGTTATTTATATATATTTTATAATTAAACATACTTTTTTCCTTCGCTTTTTTTTATCTGTAGTATCTTTTTTCTCTTTAACATCAATTAGCGTTTCTTCTTCAATTCTTCTTCTATCTGCTGCCTCTTTAATCTTCAATTGGGCAATTCTTCTTGATTGCCTAACAGGTGTTTCACCTTGCAATACACCTTCTTGTTGTTCAGGTGCAATATCCCTTCCTATTTCTAAACCCAATACCATTTTTCCTGTAAATAATTAAGTAGAATGTTAGAATAAAGATTTATTTTTCTTTAATTAATTAATCATATTATTATACTACTAATTGTTTTCATTTTATTTAAATGCTTATGATTATATTTTAGGATAGTAGTTTTCTATATTCTTTTATTTTTAATATTACTTATTTTGTTACAAAATAATATATAATTTAAACGTTAAAGTTAATATAACTTAAAAGATTATAAAATAAACCTATTGTTTCGAAGCAATATTTTAATGTGTCTTGATAAACTTAACTTAATAAATTTATCTATTTCCGAATATAATGGCTTATAAAAGATTCTATCATCCGATACCTACACTTATTGTTTATTGATATCTATGGATTTTAGTGTGACCGTCAAAAAATTCCTAGAATAAGAGATATAAACAAATTCGTTATGCGAAGTAATACGCTGAATTTATTCCGACTTGGCCTCAAAATATTCTAAACATCTTGAAATTTAAGAATATGTTTCGTTTTTCACAAAAATTACAATTTAAATTAGCCAATGGTCACTACTTTTTATGCATATCGAATATGTTCGTCAAATTTAGTTAACTAGTTAAATTGAAAGTATTCATGAACTTACTTTTCTTTCTCTTTTTTTGAGATGAAGATGGTGTTGTCTCTAATGAAGAAGCATTGGTAGGTGTTCCCTCAAGATTTACGTTAGGAGATTCCTCAGATGTTTGGTTTACATTTACTCCTCCTGAATGCTTCGGTCGTGAACGTCCACCGCCTCTGCAACGTCGTCTCCTTCCTCTTGGACGTCCTCTATTTTTACGTCCCATTGGAATAGAACGCGTAATCCTAACATCATCATCATTATTGCAATCTTTATTATCTTCTGCTATTTTACATTTCACAGCCTCATCCTCTGAACTTATTGTTACAATGCGACTCTCTTCGACGGATTTACGCAATTGTTTATCTGGTATACGTTTCGCACGTAATTTTATTCTTTTACCACCCATCATTTCTTCTTCCTCCTCTTGTTTTTCTCCTAATTCTTCGACATTCGAATCTTGTGCACTATTACGTCGTTTACGTGAAACTTTTGGAATTTCTGTATCATCCATTTTCCAACCTTCATATACGAGTTCAGAAACTGATTTAACACGAATAGCTATTTTTGTATTACTATTATCTTCACCAATGTTTATATTTAAATCTTTTAATGTATCATCTTCGGCACAAGCTAGTGGATCAGGCTCTTCTGATGGTGCATCAAACACATCTTCATGATCACCTCCCATAGAATCATCTGATGATACTGTAATTGGTTTTACTTCAACATTTTTAACTTCTGAAAGATCCTTTTTATTATTTACGTCTAAATTATCGGTTGGTAAAGAATCCTTTTTAAATTTATCTTCAGCTTCAATATTACTTACAGCTGCATTGTATACATCTGTGATAGGTGGAATTATTAAAGATTCATTTACTTTATTCACTATGTTGCTTTCAAGTTTTAATTCTTTCTTTTCCATTACCGTTTCTATCTTCGTTTCTGATTGTGAATTATATTTTATATCAGTAGATAAAGTTTCTACAAAAGGTTTTATATAAGGTGGTTTAGATTTTAACGGTGGAACATCTTCTATTTCTGAAATATCACTTGCTCTTTTATTGCCTTCTTTCTTAACGTCATTTCTTAAAATTCCCAATATTTCTTCTTTCTTGTCAAATATTGGTTCCGGTCTAGTACAGGCTGTTATGGTATTTTGTATATTGAGTACAGATTTTGTATAAATATTATCTTTATTTGTATTGGAAATATTAATAAAATCAGTCTGTTTACTTTTATCATCACTTATATCGTAAGAAACAGTTGGCTTATTAGCAATGAAATTTGTATGGTTGATATTATCAGAAATATTACTGTCTTTTAACTGTACTAATGAATGAGTTTCAAAACTTTGTGATGCTTGTTGTATATCATTGTCTAATTTAATTGTAGAGGTATTTGGTACAGACTGATTACATGTTTCAGCCGCAATAGATTCATTTACAGAATTATCAATGTAATTACATTCTTTTGTTTCGAATTTATTTTGTTCACTTTCATTTTCAAGATAGTTAGTTTTTAATCCCTGATATTGTTGCGATTTTAATAATACTTCTGCTGCAACTTGCGATGTTATCTCTTTGCTTTTAGCAACGTTATCTTTATCGTTTATCTTTTCTATAATTTGTTGACCCATAACATTTACAGTATTATCTAATATATTTGTTGGTTGATCATTAATGTCACCTGATCCACTATTTTTTTGAACTTGTATTAAATTAGAAGTATTTTCTGTATTGTCTGTATTTTTGTTACTATCTAACTTTTCAAACACAGAGTTATCTATATCTTGCACCGATTGAATAATAGAAGGCTTACTTTCATTTTGTAATTTTATTATTGTGTTTTCACCTAAGACGCTTTTATTATTAGCAGTATTGTTCATATATTCTTTGACAATTTGATTAGAAGTAATTTGAAACTCTGCTTCAGTTTTTTCATTTACAAATGTTTGTAAGTTAGAATGATCTGATGATGCTGTTAGAATAGTTGTAGTATTATTTACTTTACTTGAACTATCAAGAGAAGATATATTATGTAATACTGTATCCTTTCTGTATTCATCTGTACTTGACTCATTGATTGTTTGTTCATTTTTACTTATGTCACTGCATTTATTATCATCACACTTGTAACTTACTTCAATATTTTTGTTGTTGGAAATATTAATTACTTCATCTGAATTAACATTACATATTTCCTTTTTATTTTCTATGTCGTTTTTAGTAAAATCCTTGTCAGTTGCAATTTGTAAGTTTGATTCTAACTCTTTTTTATCACGTACAAATTGCTGTGACTCGTCAAGTAATATATATTTTTTATCATCTGTACATTCTCGTTCAATATTTATGTTTTCTGTTATTTTATTATCATTTATTGTATGTTCTTCTACGGAACAATTAGGAATATTATCTGTAGATTCATAATCCTCTAATGTGTCTGCTTCAAAAACATCGTCACTGCCATCATCATTAGAATCATTACTATCATAATTTGCAACTAAAGATTGCTTATTAACTGAACTCTTTTCAGATTCATTTGAGATTAAATTTATTTCATTTTGTACAACATTTTGTTTTTCAGTATTACTCATATCTTCTTTCAATTTTATATCTGTACTTTCATAACTACTATTATTTATGGCCGTTTCAGATTTCTCTGTATATGTTTCAGTTATTTGTACGTTATCACTTTCTTTATCCTTTGTTTTATTGTTTGAATCTTTTTGTTCAACAAAAATGTCTGCAGTAATAGGGGAATTACTTTCCTTATTACTTGTCATAGAAGTATCTAATGCAATTTTCTGATTTTCTGTGATAAGAGGTAAATCATTTGGCATACAAAAATTATCTTCTTTTCTTATATTTTGATCATTCAACAAATTATCATTGCTAACTGTTGATTTATCACTATCGGATGGTGTTACTAATTTCTCACCATTAGGTGGAGTTTCTTCTACCTCCTTTGAGGACTCATTAGATTCTGACATTCTGCAATCAATTATCATATCTTCATTTGAATCTTGATCTATACAAGAACTTGGATTTTCTGATACATCATCAGCATACTCATTCACACTTTGATCAATACTAGATGAATAATTTTCTTTTAATGATGGCATATTACTAATTTCAGTAGATTTTATAATAGAAATATTAGATGCTATTGGTGCTAGTACGTTAAATGCACTGTTACTTGTTTTAGCGGAAAATGAATTATCAATTTGTTGAGATACTATCGGTATGTTACTATTGTCTTGTAAAAATATATTTTTAACGGATCCATCGTTTGAACTACTTATAACAGAAGCAAATGATTCTTTATTATATTCTTGCATACACGCAGAACTGCTAACAGTTGCATTATCTACAAGATCAGATTCAGGAATATCCTCAGATGCATTTGTTTTGATAAAAGAATTAGTTAATTGTTTCTCTTTAATTTCTTCTGAATCTCCTGAACCTTCATCTTGTACTCCTAAATCTGACAATGTATCATTTCTTTCACTATTTTTATCATAATTTACTGACATTGAATCAGCATCCGAACTAATTTGTCCTTTCATTTTTTCAGTATCAGTATCCATTGATTGCTCTTCTTGCATATCAAATTCAGATAGATTATCATTTTTATCACTGTGTTTATCATAACTTTCTCTGCTTAAATCTACMTCGTCTTTTTTAAGAGCTTGAAATTCATCAGAAACATTATCTATTTCTTGTATTCCAGCAGAACTGTGTACTTCTTGGAAATTTGGAGATGAAATTAAATCTGTAGATTCTAACATATTAGTATTATCTTCTTCAATTGCACATTCTTGTACATTTTTAGATTCCATTTGCACATCTTGATCCCGATCTTTATTACAAGGTGACATACACGTATTTGTTGTAGGATCAGATTCTGTTTTTTCTATAATCTCATGAGAAGTTTCCTCTTTTTTCAAAGATTTATATTCAGCTTCATTCTCAGAGTAAGTACTAGGTGATTCTACGATTTCTTTTATATTGTCTGATATATTAAGATTGGCATCCTTTTCAGCATTTGTTGATTGATAAGATCTATCATCCATAAATCTCGATTGATCATTAGTTGGAGTGTTTTCATTGTATTGTGTCACATGCTCGGTCTTCATATCATTATCAATCACTATGTTCTTTTTATGCTGAAGATCTGAACTATTTGTTAATGATTCTGCTGTATTTAATGTTACATTTACATTATTAGTAATAAAAGATTGCGAAACAATATCTGTGGATTCAGATTTTTCAAGTTTTACAGTAGTTTCCTCCGATTCTTGTACAGTATTGGATTGTAAATCATCTATTTGATGAGTTGTTCTTGATATTGATTGATCAATGGCATTACTGACACTTTCTTCATTTGAATTCCATGCATGACTTGAACCTTCGAGTTTTTCTCTCTTGTCATTTGTACAATATATATTATGAGAATCAAATGAACTAGGTTTTAATGAATTATTATTTGTTTGAGTAACATCAAATTCTTCTGATTTATATGACAGCAGTGTATCTTCTGAAGGTTTAGAAGAAGAAACACATTCATACTGTAGCGTGTCAGATTTACATTGAATCGATGTAGTGACAATTTGATCCGATTGAGTTTCCAGATCTGTGGACTTTGAAGTATATGAAATGCAATTTGGTCCAAAAAAAAATCTTGGTGGTGATGCAGATTTTGGTTTACACTCGTTATCGATTTTGTGTAAAAATTCTGAATTTTGTGTAACTATGCTACATGAATCTGAAACGTTTGTAGAGACTTTTTCACTGCTTAATGAGTAGGGTACAAGTATAGCGTTTGTACTAGATTCTAAAACTTCTGAAGTATCTGCTTGGCATGAAGATATAGAGGAATCACATTGTATAGTTTCCAATAATTTAGAATTTTCTTTAGATTTTGTGGAATTGCTATCAATTGCATCTGTATCAGTAATGTTAGATTCTATACTATTTTGATCTAGCGCACTAACTTCATTGGAAGAATTTGCATTCATTTTTTCATTTAAATTATCAGTGCTAGAAAGACATTCAAAGCTACCTTTTGACAAAGATAAATCTTCGCTTGTTTGTAAAGTGCTTTCATTTGTATTACTACATGTCTGATTACTAGTGCCTTCTTTGGGAAAATACTGTTCTTTTTGTGATATGTCTTCTTCATTTGATATGATACTGCTGTCACATTCCGTTTTTTCTGCAGGTTTACCTACATCCCACCTCGATAACCGTTTAATAGGACCACTTGTACTTTTCGGAATTGTTTGAACACCCAGAGTTGGTTTAAATTTTGGTTTTTCTTGTGTAGAGCCTACTATTTGGCTTTCATTAACATCGACATTAGATTGAGAATAATTCCTATTAAACCTTACAGGACTTTTACTTGTCTCCACTGAAGCAGTTGAAACTTCCTTTATTAGATTTTCTTCATTTAAGATTTCACTTGAAGATAAACTTGCAGTCGCTGAGTCAGCTTCACTTTTGGACTGACTGCTACTTTCCTTATTATCAGCTGACGTATCATCACCAGGATTACCTGTATCACATTCAACTCCAGAACCTTCACCGTAGAATACCATAACAGGTTCTTCTATAGGTTCACCAATTCCAGGATTAACAGCATCACAATCACTACCGGATCCTTCACCTTGAACCATCATTAGTGGTTCTTCAATCGCTTCACCTATTATATCTTCTCTCCAACTATTATTAATCATTGTTCTTTTATCAATGGATCCTCTAATAGGTATTACATCTGGCCTCATTCTTTTTAAAATATCAGACTGCACATCATCCCCTTCTAATGGCCTTTTTAAAGAAGTTGAACCCATTCTTAAAGCAGTTATTTTATTTGGATCAGAAAGCAACCCATAGCTTGATAATCTATGCTCTTCTTTAGGAGGTAATCTAGGATTGTTGTGATATGCAGCAGCAGACATTTCATAAGCTGTAAATGGCATCTGTCGTTTACTCAAGTCTGCTACCATAGCATGATTACGCATCATCACTGCTCTAGAATCAAAGGATAGATTTTGGACATCAGATTTGTTTGATTTTTTAGTACTCAAATCCATTTCTCTATGTTGAAAATTTTGAGATCTATATCCAGGTGTAGATAAATCCATACTTTTGGTGAATTTTCGACTAGAAAGATTACTTCCCGAAAAATCCACAGGAATACTTTGTTCATTCACACTTTCCCAACTACGAGGTGATGTAGATAAGTCCATGCCTCTATGTCCTCGAAGTATAGCAGGTTTTTCAGGTTGACTTCTTGGACAAAAATCTTGTGGTAACCTGTCATCATCTCCATTGATTGTTGAATTAAGTATACCTCCAGATCTTGCCAGATTCTCTGCTATTTTTTCTAGTGACTTTGCTCCACTAGATTTTTCATGTTTTTCAGACTGAATTCTTACAAGATTTGCAGCTAATTGATTTATTGGTTTAACAGACAATTTACTATGTCCAGATGTAATATCTGTATGTGCAAAAGAAAGGCTATTTTTACCAGATAATTTTTCTAAAGATTTCATTACAGATTCTGTTGTTTCCTCCATAGTATTATGTTTTTTAGATATATTTATTGGGGTACTAATAGGCATTATATGATTTGGATTCTTTTCTTCCTGTATTTGTTTCAAATCAGCAATATTTACAAGTTTAAGAGGAGAAGTGATCACAGATGTTTCTATTGATTTTAAAGGTACTAATTCTTCATTAGTAATTTTATTGATATTTGATTTTATTAGATTTTCAGATTTAACAATTTCCAGAGGCTTAGTATCAGGTGTATGAGATACAATAGCTTCTTCTGGTAAGGTTTTCTTTGCAATTATTTTCTCAATCGGTATATGGGCACTTCCATTGGTCACTTTTACAGTATTTGCAACTTGTATATTTGATTCTGTAACTTGACCTTGTGCTACCTCTAAGGAATCATCTTCTTCTGTATTTTGTTTGGAACTTTCATCATTAGTTACACCTTCATCTTCTTCATCTTCTTCGTCTTCTTCTTCTTCATCTTCTTCATCCTCCTCTTCCTCTTCTTCCTCCTCCTCTTCCTCCTCCTCTTCATCATCATCTTCTTCTTCCTCCTCTTCCTCATCTATTTCTTCCTCATCATTTTCAACATCTGCATTACTTTGATCAGCGATAATACCATTTTTTTCATGATCATTACCATTTGTAAGGGCATCTTTTTGTTCGACTTTATCTTCTAAATTACCATTATGAGTGCCATTTTCTTGTATAACTTCATTTTCCTCCAAACTGGGTGATGTAGTTACTTGACCAGTGTCTATAATAGGTTTCTCAGATATTTCTAAACTATTACTATCTTCATTAATTGGTATCGATTCAGCTTCACCATTTGATAGAGAATTTATTAAATTGACAAAACCTTCTCGATCTCTAATATTAGAAAATATTGATATTAGTTTACAATATACAACACCAGTTAAAAACATTATATAAACAAAACTTACTTCGCTACTAGTTCCCAATTTTCCTCATCTAAATCCTCCCTGTATACTCTAATATTACACTCCTCATCGAATTGACACCAATAAGCTAATCCAGTTTTGTCCTTCCCTAATGGTTCCACACGCAACTCATCTGCTGTAAGTTTATTTACTTCATTTTTAAATTTTTGATTCAAATCAAACTGAGTTTCCAAGAGTACCTAAGATAATGATTGCAATATTAACATAACTATTCATATATAAATAAATATATACCATAAATAACAGTAATGACATATGAGAAAAATATTAATGTACCTTAAGTAGACGTAATTTAACAGTAATACGAGCTTTCTTATAACCAAAACGTTCAAGTTCCCACCCATCCTGATTAGAATACGTATGACAAAATTTCACCAATGCTCGTTCCCACTTTTCAGGACAGACTGTCTTACGTGTTTTTCTTAGCAATTTTATATGTAAATCTACTAATTGTTGAGGTACTGAAAGAAAGAAAATATCAATATGATAAACTGATACAATTATAATAACAATATGATGCATGTATAGAAAAAATCAAATATATATATATATAAAAACAGATTGTTTGATCTTTAGGATTGTGTTTACAACAAAATTATAAATACATTAAATATAAAAAGTAATATCTTTATATAAAAGAAATAAATTTATTGTTATAATTTAAAACTACTATTTCATTCAAAGAAATAAAGAAATTGAATAAATGTGCAATATTGCATTTAGAGAAGTGTCTTTCATAAAGCTAACAATAACAACAAAAAAAAAGAAAAATCAAAGAGTTAAAAGATTTATAATTGAAACGTCAAAATATATCATGCCTATGAACAGACCGAAATACATCCATAATTCGTAATCACATATAACCGCGATTGACAAGAAAGAAGGGAGGTGGCAGCACGGGGCAAAACAACAACACACGACGGAACGATCTTGGTGGGGTTTATCTGTCAAATTGGCAGTCTTTTTTTACACCATCCATGTAAGAGAGAAAGAGACATTGTTGGTTGGGAGTAAAAAAAGAACAACGAAGAACACGAATTGCGTGCTTTCTTCTTCGTGAGAGAGATCCACCCAACGTTACAAATGGAATGAAAGAAAAAAAAAGAAGAAAAAAGAAGAGAGAGAGAGAGTATGCAGGGGGAGAATGAAGAAATAAAGAAAAAAATAGATCCGTAGATTCGCTATATAGTAAAGATTAGCCACAGACCTTGTAGTCCCTGTGGAAAGGGATGAAAACATAGGGAGGTCGCGTGTACTGCGCACGCACATATGTACATATAATGCATACGTCCGTCGTAGGTATGTACGAATTACATAGAAGAAACACATACGAATGTAAGTATATGAATGTAGTAGTAGAAACGAGTAGGCAAATACATGAGAGGTAATTTTCGTCGAACTAGCATCCATCTACGTCTTTACAAAGAGTTTAAGTCGCGCTACTAACATCTCGGCAAGAAAGAGAATCGTGAAAAAGGAAAACAAAACTTTTGCAGAGAGTTCGCGCGAGACTTTTCGTCTGGCGGGGGCGGGTCGGTTATTCCCTGCCGCTTCCTCTCCAACCCTCTTTGTCATCCCACTCGTGCAGAGAGTATTCGTTTTGTCTCGTTCCCTCTCTCTCTTTCCTTCTTTCTTTCTCTTTTTCTTTCTCACTCTTGTTCATTCGCTCTCTTACATGAACCATGCGCGAGCGCGCTGGTATATAACAAACACATACATACATGTGACAAGCATATACACAAAAAGAGACGTAAAGAGAGAGAAAGAGAGAGTGAGTGAGTGAGCGCGCGCGCGCGCGTTTGTGTGATGCGCGCGCGCCCATATACGTACGCTTACTACGAACGACGACGAATGAACGAACGAACGCGGTGGTAAGATATAAGAAATACATATACACGCATAGACATTAATTTGACTCACCTTCCTGCGTATTCTCAATCATCTCTTGCAACCTTGCTATGTCTGGATAGACTATGCCACAGGATTTGCCGAAACGAGCGAGGAAGGAGCAGATCACGGCAAAATTTGGGTCACTCGCGCAAGAGGCTTCGTTATCGGCCGCCATTTTTCCACAGCTAAAACTCTCTTCGCAGAGGGGCCCGTAGCCGTGCTAGGGCCGATATGCTACTACGCTAGGCGGCCTCACCACTCTCGTATCGCATTTTCGGTTCTTCGCCGTTTTCTTCTTCTTCTATTTCCCTCTCTTTCTATCGTGCGCGTCCTCGCGCGAAATCCTCGAAGAAAGTCAAAGAAAGAGAGGGGGTTGAATAGGGAGAAAGGGGGAGAGAGAGAGAGAGAGAACAACTCACGAGAGAACCGCCGGTAGACAGAGCGAGAAGCGTTGATGCACACACTGAGAATCTCGCTTCCCGCTTTTTCGTTCCTTCTCTCTCTTGTCTCTTTCCGTTCTATTGCACCTTTTCGTTTGTTCCTTCAAATGAACACAACATAACACAATAATAATGTCGATGGCAGCGGCGACGACGTCGACAATGCTACGCAATGGCAACGACAACGACGTCGACGACGTTCGAATAATTCTCTTCTCTTCTTTTCTCTATACACTTTACTTTTCACTTTATCCGCCGTTATTTGCGCCCCACTGATTACGGTAAAGCACAACACCGGAGAGAGGCAAAGAAGGGACGACACACACGCACAGAATATCCAATTTTATTTTTCGTCTTCAACCTTCTTATTCTTTTTCTTCTTTTTTTTTTGTGTTCAAGACAGGAGAAAAGCAAAGGCGCTCTCACACGCCTTGTCCGCCTTCTTCCACGCACTTTTCACATATCACAAGTCTCTTCTTATACACGAACGCACGCACGTATAAACGACGCACGCAAGACGAACGCACACTGAGATCCGTTGTCGGATTTCGCACCCGCTTCAAACTATATTTCTTTTTCTCTTTCTCTTTCTATCACCTCCTGTATTTACGTCTCTGTCTAACAGGGAAGAATGCGCACGCAGCATACGATCGTAACGACGTCGCGCACGTAACACACAGCGATTGCTTTCCTCGTGTGTTTGGCACCACTCTCTAGCCTCGTTCGCTGCTCTCTCGTGCCTCGCCTTAGAGGAAACACGAAGACGATCGTTAGCGCGCAACTTCTACGACGTGCAGAGATGTGGCGGCGCAAGACAACGGCGGCACAATCATCAACAATAACAATAACAATAACTATAAACTCGACTTTTTCTTCTTCTTCTTCTTCTTCTTCTTCGTTGACGACGACGAGGACGAAGGCAATACAACGACCAGGACGACGATGACGGCTTAGAGACGACGAAGAAGACAACGTTGCTGATGATAAACGCGTTCTCTTTCTTCTCAACGAGTCTCATTGGACATCACCATCTCCACCTCCATCTCCTCCTCGGCAACTCTCCGGGCCTACGAAACGTTACGAAGGAAAAGGGGTTCTCAATTGGCGACATTTCTTTCAACCAATCTCTAAGCTTATGATCGAACCCTTCGATCCTTACGTTCGATCTTTACTCTCATTCCCTCCCATCCTTTATTTTGAATTTTCTAACATTGATAATATCGATTGAAGCGTACTAAACATTGATCATTACGATCGATCTTTCTGTAATATATTTTCCTCGAATTCAACACAATGATGTTTCGCATTTTCATCTCAACTCTCTCACATACGAACCAAACGAATTTTCTAGAGCCTCGTATCAACGGTTCTCAACTTATTACATTTAGTTTTCGTTTTTGCCGCGTTTTACGATAGGCAGTACCATCCATCCCCTTGCCCCACTACTGCTACTATGTAATACATATATATGAATATATATGTTTGTATGTATGTAACCTTCTTATTGTATGGACGGACGCGTTACGCCCTTTTTTCTCTTATGCCGCATATATACCTCTGTCTATCTATTCTCTTTTTTTCTCTCTCTCTTTCTCTCTCCTTCCCATTCCTCATCCTCTCTATTCATCTCATTCTCTCTCTCACTTTTTTCAAGCGTCATCGAAAGATTAAATGATTGGATATGTTTAGCTATTTTCATGGATAAAAAAACAAATATGAAAAATTAGATAAAAAGGATATTGAGAGAGAGAGAGAGAAAGAAATAAAGATGGGTGCGAAAAATTACACTTGCGGTAGAAAAGTAAGTGTGATATTAAGTATAGGAAATTTTCAAGGCTCTCTAGTAACGACGCCTCATTTCAATGACGTAGTCTCTGCTTATTGTTAGTTGGATATAAGTTCTGGAGGGGGTGGCGTCGAGTGGCGGTCGGCTTTTTTCAATGTAGAGGAAGAGGGAAAGGTGTTGCCAGCGCACGATTCCGGATCGATTGGTGGAAGATTATGAAACTATAAAGTCGTTTCAGTTAAATTAAAAGTTTTTTCACATTTGTTTTTTTTTTTCGATAGAAAAATCTTGATTTCAAATATTATTATATATATTATATTTAAAATGATTATTCTTAGTAATATTACGCAGAATATGAAATATACTATTTACATGTCCTTTTTAGAAAAGTATTCGCTCGACAAGTATGGCGCTGCTGTATCGAGCGACAAGGCTTTACGAACACTTGGACATCCCGTAGCGCTCAGAGATTGTGCTACTACGCCGATCGATCGCTACTACGCATGCTGTTTTGTCTATATATGTGTCATTAAGGAATACTCGATAACAGAGAGAGTAAGAGAGGGAGAGAAAGAAAAATTATACATTGAGAATGAAAAACAATTGCGCATTTTCTTATCGCATACAAATTTCTTTCTATTTTATTTAATAATGAATATTTCAAAAATATCAATGAACGTTTTAATTAATTATTCAACTTTTAAAGTAGGGGTGGACTTATTCATTCACATTTAAAAGCCACCAATAGTACAGTGCTGCCTGCCATTGGGAAAATTTAAATTTAAAAATTTCAATTTTACATGGAAATGAATATTTGTGAATGATTTGTTTTTATTCTTTTTTTTTTCGATTTAAGAAGTTGTACTCTTGTTTTTTAATTTTCTTTTAATAAGGATAAACCAGTCGTAAATAACAATTTTTATTGATTTATGCGTATAAATTCATATATTTACAATATATATTATTTGAAAAAATTGATATATTTCTTATAACTGTGTAATTTGTTGCATTCCACGATGCTTTATTACGTCGATATTTGGTGTTTTCCTTGCTTTTATAATATATGTATACCTGAGTAAAATATTCTATTTCGTAATAGAATTTGATAAAGACATCTAATGTCCTAAAAACTCATTTTGTTTACATTAGCACCAATCCTTCTGTTTAAATATCCAAAATTTTCTCTTTTTTACATTTTTATAACAATAAACGATGTTCACTTTTAATACAAATATATGAATGTTGTTGTGAAAGTATTTGGAATGCAACTATCTTTATTACATTAATGTAGTATGTAAAATGATATCTTTGTTAATATGAATTTATTTACTTGTCTTATGTTACACTCATGAAAAATCTTGAACCATTTGCCTTCTACATTTTGTACTCTTAATGTAAAATGGTACAAATCTAAAAAAACATCTTTTATGCAGTTATCTTTAACGAATTTACAATTACCCTGCTGTACATCTGCCTGATTTTTATCTATCATATTAAACTATAATTTACATCCAATTCATTTATACCAATATATTTATAAATATATCTGTATTTTTATATATATTAAAAAATGCTATTCATAAATGATTATTATTGTATACATAGAAAAGGAATAAATAAATAGTTTTTCTTGTATTTTATATGCTAAGGCAAATATATAGGAAAATATTGTAAATTGATATTTTTGTTATATTTAAAAGATTAAGATTTTAAAATTACAATTAGGAGACATAATGTAGAAAGCACTCCTATGTTAATATTTTTAACCATATTCCTTTTGTCATCAATTATTTTCATTTATTACTGTAAATGCACCTTTCAAAAGTATGCATTTATTAAATTAATATTGGTTTATGCGTCAGAGTTATGAATTGATGATATATAAGAGATAATATGTGAGTACATAGTATGATTTGCAAAGTTATCAGTTATTTATATAAGTTCAAATATGAACAAATTGAGCAATACTATAAACTTTATCGATTAAGATTTTGCAATAAAAGAAAAAAAAAATTACTTGCGCTTACTGTAAGATGAAACCATATGTTAAGAAAATTGATTTATTTAAAATTATTTTAATTTTCTTTGAGATGTGATGTTTTTAAGTTGTTGTTTATATATTTCCGCTTCTTCTTCTTTCTTTTGTAATTGCTTGCGATATTCAGCGGCTTGCCTTCGGGCTTCTGCTAACTGTCTATTGAGCACTGCTATATCCATTTCTGGCTCGTTATTATCCACAGTATCTTCTTCTATAACTTCTTCAATATCATCATTCAATTGTAAAATTATTGGTTCTGTTATCTTGGAAGGTGAAGTGACTATTTTGTTCTATAAATCAAATAAGTTTAAATATGTATTTGAATTCATAAGCACACCATACACATAAGATATTAATTTATATACCTCTGAAGTTGTATAGTGTGATTGCGTTATCGTTGGAACCGTCATAGCTGTTGAAAGAGAGGAGATGAATAATTTTCCACCTTTGTTATCTACAGAAGATCTTTTTAATATATTCGGACCACGGGATGTAAGGCTAGGTGTGCTTTGATTTAAAATTTGATCTGCTCTTATAGCTATAACTTTTCTTGCATTTCCTTTTCTTGGAGATACTTGAAGTCGTTTCATACTTAACGGAGTACCTCTGGTTAAATTTAAGGCAAGCTTACCAGCTTCTAAGAATAAGAAACAATTTCGATTGATTTTTATATTATAAGGATTAATATTTTATCCCTTTTGATGAAATATTTCTATTTAATTAAAAACATACCTGTAAGAACAACAGTTCTTCCACTTTCCATTGCATTCTCTACTATGGATGCATCATCATCCATTGGAATCATTGTAATTCCATGTGCTTCTAATAACCTGAATTGATTTTTGACACCACTCAATGTTGTTAAATCTTTACGTTTTTTATTAATATTGATATTATTCGTATTAATAATATCATCCGCATTCTTCATTTCTTTTTCAGTTTCCATTTCAGTAGATGGTGATACATGAATTTGTTGAAGAATCATTCTTGTTTTTTTATTACCTCGAATTGAATGATCTTCATTAAAAAAAGGTAATAAGAATAGTTCTTAATTTATTACTTACCTTGAGCACTTTTACGTTTTGGCTGTGATTGCTGCTGCAAAAGCTCTAGTTTTTGTTGTTCTTCATTAGCTGCTTCTTCTTCTGCTTCTAATTGGATTAAATTGTGAGTTGCTAATTCTAATTCCGCCGAACTAGCTTGATGTTGTTCTTGGGTTTGTATTCCAATGATTTCTCGTTCTTGCTGAAGTATTTCTATCAAGTAAGATTTGCCAAGCTCCAAAGCTAAGCTCATTGGAGTTTTATCGAATTTACTATTTGCATTTTTATCCGCACCATATTCCAACAAAATATTCATACATTCTATATGTTCTTTTTGAACTGCCCAGTGTAAAGGAGTCATTTTAAGCTAAAGACATTATTAATTACATTCAATTATTTTTATTTGAAAGAATTGTATTTATTTTGTTTATTTGTGATTTTTCTTTTTTACCATGTCTCTACTATCAACATCAGCTCCATATTTTAACAGTAAGTGTGCCATTTGATGATGACCTTCATAAGCGGCCAAATGAAGTGGCGTTCTGTCCACCTTGGTTCTTGCATCTCGGGATATTCCTGCCCTGAGTAAAACTTCAGCGGTTTCTATGTGATTATATTTTGATGCGAAATGTAAAGCACTTGTTCCAAGCTAAAAAAACAAAATTCATAATAATAATGTATTCTTTTTCTTTTTATATACAATAAATGAAAAATACTATATTATAAAAAGATATACATACACAGTCCGTTGTAAAAGGTGCTCCCTTACACATAAGTTCACGGACGCTATCCGTGTCTCCATGTTTTGCACTATGTAACAATTGTTTTCCTAATTCAACTATCGACGAGGCCTCTTGAGATCGAGAACGTTGAGAGACATCACATGATAAAATCTCAACCTAACAGAATATTATTCACAGACTTTCATAACCACTGATTTTCTTGCATAAATTTGACATCAAACTTATATACTTTAGATTCTCTTATTGTATTCGATAAGATCATTATTTGGATGACAACTAGTTTATATTTATAAATTGTTTAAGTTCTCCAATTATAAGTGCAACTAACATGAAAAGTAATCTTACCGGTATGAGAGTGTCTTCGTCCAGTCCTTCAATATCATTGACACAGATATTTTCCGCTTGCATGTTTGTATACCGAATTCAATCCCCTTCTCTCTGATGCACACTAAAATCAAATTTTCCATAATATTTAAAGAATGCCACCAATTTTTCCAAATTAATAGTGTCTGCTTTGAATGTTCCATTTTCCAAGTATCAGTCATTGTACTTCGACCTTGAAGCACCGAAATTAAAAGTAGGTCGTAAAAATAAAAACAAAACTTAATTCGAAAGAAACCCGCTATCCCGATCACTTTATTCCTTTTCTAAATCACAAAAGCATCGCACGCTTATTTTTCGAAATTTCCTTCGATACAGGATGTTTTTAATTTGCCATCTCAGTTCGCGAGGAGAGAGAGAACTTCCTGTTCCTGTTCATTAAACGGAAGTCCCATGTCATAGGCCCTGCATTTCATGACCAAAAACTATCCAAATCGATTCGCGATAGCACGGAACAAAATTATACTTACGACCAGCACATTATTCACTCGTTTTGCTGGTTTTTCGTACAAGTTTCTCTCGTCCACGTAACCTTTATCAGAATTCTTCCTCTTCACAGCCTTCTCGATTTATGGACTGGCTAAAGTTTTATAAAAATGGCGTCGCATTGGCGCCATTCCTGATATAATTTATCCAATATTCCAGTGACCCTCGAGTACGAACTAAAGGATATGCTTTAAAATCAATGGATTACAATAATACATGAATATTTTGTTTTATAAAACTTATCTATTACAACAAAGTAAAAATTCTAAACAGAAAATATGTTCAATAACAATAATAATGCTTCGTAGCGCCGCATAGCGGTGCACGTGGAAATTATTTATTCTTAATAAAGGCTAGGTTTATGATGTATGTTTAGGTTAGTTCATCAATTAATACTTTTGGAACTTTTATTTAATATTTCGTTTTGGTTATTTGTATTATTGTATTATTATGTCAATGAGAAATTAGTATATATAGAAATATAATTAAGAAATATAATAATTCTTTATTATAAGTATTTTATATTCTTAATAAATGATAACTATATTTTATTCTTGAAATATGTATTTAAAAAAACCATGCATTATAATCATAAATAAATATGATTTGGAGGATATTATTTTTGTTATTTAAAAAAAAAAGAAATTCTTCTTATCTGTAAAATCAATAGAATAAGTAAATTAATTCGTTTTAGCGCCAATACCACCATGTGACTATCGTGGCTCACTGACAACGTATCTAAGAATGTATAATAAATATGATGAGAAATATTGTTTGCGATTGGTCGACATTTTAAACTCACGCATATGATTGGTTGGTATGTATTACGGCTTCATTATACAAATTCATGTTCATTATAATATCTGATTATTTTTAAACATTCATGGTGACTCATTATTTATATTTATATCTGTAAGAATTGAAGAATAATTCAAATTAGCAGGTAAAATTTTTTTGCATAAAAAATTACCGACTTACGATCAAGATGGTCGATGGTTAAAGCGTGGCAAATTTGAAACGATTGTAACCTACAAATGAAAATAGTCGAGGATTCTTCCTACAAATTGTTGAGTCGATTTAATAGTTTTAATGTTTTTTCCTTTTTTATTTTTGTACGATAATGCAATTGAGGATGAAAATTGTTGTTCATTAATTGTTTGGTAATATAACAATATATTAATTGTATACGATCGAATATTCCTATTACATTTATATTTTACTTCGGTTAACTTGTTGTATGTATATATGTTTGAAAATACTAGAAATTTTTATATTTTTTCTCATTTGCTATCTTTCTTCATCCTACAGGACATATCATATATATATATACTCATACATCATTGTTTTTCATCCTTCTCACTTTCTCCGTCTAGCTACTATTGTCTCTAAATCTCTCTCGTTTCTTTCTTTCTTATATTTGTTCTTTTTCCTTCTCTCTTTCTCCATTTGTTCTCTGTCTCTTTTATATCCCTTATTCCTTCTCTTTCTTTTTCTCTTTTACACATATATATATATATATATAATACTATATTCGTATCCATTCTCTTTCTTTGTAGTTGACCCAGAATCGTGGAGATAACGGAGTATCAAGGTGCAACACAATGAATCTCCATGCCTACGTATACATACGCGAATAACTCTGGTATGTGTGTACATAATATGTGAGAAACAGATGGGCATGTAGAGAGAAAGAGTAAGAGAAAGAGAGAGAGAGAGAGAGAGAGAGAGAGAGAGACAGAGAGAGAAAGAGAGAACCGGTTGGTATACGTATGGATTACTGTTGGTGGCTCGTTATCGCAATTGATAATATCGTGGACTCTGGCTCACGGTTGAATTAAACAAATTTCACGGAAATATCGGCTAGAAGGATTTTATTGGCGAACGGTTTAACCAACATTAACGATTCATTAATATTACAAAAAGAAACAAAAAATAATTAAAGAAAAGAAAAAGAAATAAAGTAACTATTGAAAAAAATTTAATTTACAGTAGAATATTTGGCATTGTATTGTACCTATTACTAAGACATTTTTAATATAAAAAAAAATAATTAATTATCTTGGAAAATATTTATCAGAGAACAAATTTATAACCATAGAGATTTTTAGATCGATTTATTGGCACAAGGAAAGATAGGTTGTTGTAACTTCATAAATAGCTCGATACTTGTCCATTATTCTAATGTTTCGGGGACGTGTAAAATAACTGACCTTTGAACTCTGTATAAAATAAAGGTAGGACAGGAAAGGATTATGCATACAGAGTTTACTATCGAGTGCGTGCACCGCCACATCGGGTTAACCATTCCTTATATCGTAATCTAAGGAGGTGCCTGGCCGCGCACGGTCACGGGAGTGAGCTTGCATGCTTTCAAACGGAGTAGGTTAGAAGGTTCGTGAATTTCTCATGAAGGAAAATGCATCGTCCGTCGTTGACGATGATCAAGGTGTGTATATATGTGTATATGTGTCTTTTTCTTTTCCAACGAGAAAGTAACGAGTGCTTTCATCCCTCTTAAACGTTATAGTTCGAGATTTATGTCGTCCGTCAGAAGTCTTCATTTTGGATTATCGTTTATCTTATATTCTATGACCTACGAAATAATAAAGAAAAAAAAAAAAGAAAACAAATTAATCATATTCTAAATGAAATATCATCAAGAATAATAATAAAGGTTTGACGTTTGAATTTTTGAAAGTAAAACATTCGATACGTCAAGCGAGGATTAACCTTATAACTTTTACATCGGAATTAAGGGTCGTTATGCAGCGTGCTAACGTACCTTCAAACTACGCTACGATATATAGCTTTTATACGTATACGCGTAGGTATACATTTATAGACTTACACGTATATACATATAAACGAAGTTTCGTGCCGCAGTCGCCACACGGACTATTACGGGTTCTATGCGGTCGAGACCGTTGCAAGATTCAGGAAGTGTTGCACGGGAAATGAGATTCTTGCGTGAACAATACTCGAGACTCGAAGACCATTCCCTATTTGCATCGTGCGAAAAATAAAAAAATATGAGAATCTTAGGAACCGTCTCTCTTTCTCTCTCTCTCTCTCTCTCTCTTTCTCGAAAATATGTATCTCTTTAGTAGGTTTCGATATATTTTAGTAGGACTTATTTAGTATTTTGTATTTGGTATTAACAAAATTAAAATAATTTCACTTATAAATAATTAAGAAAATTGATTTCTAATTGTGGATACATATTATACTTATTTATTAGAAATAGTTATTTCAATAATGATTTATTATCATTGTTACAATCAATTATTTTAGGAACCTAGCACTAATGCAATCGTTTTATTGAAATTTTAGTAAACTTATTGTTAGCTCGGAAAATAAAATAACGTTATTTGTTATTCGGAAGGTTTGTCTTCTATAAATTTAGTTTGGTCAACGTACGATGAAACTTCCTTACCTTTCCAAATGTAAACAAAAGGGCGAGTATACGTTTAAGTTAAGTAAATTTTGTTCTCTGAATAGTCGCACAGTTCTATTCAGGTGAACTCAGAAGTGAAACCATACGAAAAGAAATTATTTCTTCGTTTTAGGTTGACGTTTCTTTTTTTTCTCTTCAGGTCGATACGGACCCAACTTCCGGCGTACCATAACACCGCGCCACCAAGCTTGGATCCTGATGGCGCATCCTCGCACGTGTTGTTCATGTTCCTTTTGTTTTTTCATCGCTTCCTTTTCCGCGAGGTAAGTGTCTATAAATTTTTGTTTTTTATCATACTGTAATGGAAAATTAAGAGAACGAATTTTAGCGTATTTTCGTATCACTGCATAATAAATAATTAGGACGTTAACCTATCGTTAAAAACTAATCAGAATATCGAATTTTTTGTTTTTTTCCTTATGCAATCTGTCATAATTATTAATAAATGTCTAAGTGACTGTACGAGTATATACGTTATTAATAACAAAATAAATTCTAAATTATTTACAATATCATATTTACGAATATTTATCATGAATTATTTCAATTATGTTGTTGTTTTAATAGTAACGTTCTAATAATACATGAATCGTTGATTTTCTAAACGAATAGAATATGTTCTCTTGAATGCAATTATGTTGCAATTGTCTAAGGACGCTTGTACTTTCGTGTATAAGTTGTTTGAATTTAGAACAAAGTCCCCTGTAGTCATTTTCACAGTTAAGTCTTCTTGGATTCTAACTTGACAAAATTCAACGTAATCCTATAATTAATTAGACATTTTGATGTACTATATATATATATATGTATAAAGATAGATGATACACGTGTTTTATGTTTCTTACATTTGAAATTCACACGCGTAAGAAAGACGATAAAAAGTCGTAAGAGTTAATCGTAAAGGTTCGTGAAAGCGAGTACCGAGCGTGTTTCTTACATCTAAACGTAAAATTATGGATATCGCTCGATTCGAAATAGTCACGAACGAGTTTTCAAGCCGAGCTTATCGATTTTTGTAGATATGCCGAGTAACAGAACATTTAGTTTGATTTTTTTACGATGATCGATGATTACTCTAACGTTTATGTAGCAAATGTATCGATCAACTCTAACAAAATAAAATTTGTCAAGATTTATAATAGAATATTTCTAGAAATTTGACTTTAAAGTAAATGCAAATATTCTTCTATTGGTATCAATAGAACCTTTTATTCAGTCGTATGTTTATCGCGTTAAACTATTTTCACATTTTTCTTTGTGTTTGAAGTCTTCGTCGGGAATAAGGTTTCCTTTTTCTGTTCTATGTTTAGAAACGAAAACATTACCTCTTGTGAGAGTTCAGCTATGTCTTTTTGTCGAGTTTCTATCTCTATGTTCACTTCACGGATTTCTTCCTCATACATTTTCTTCTCCCGATCGTAACGTTTCTGCCATTCTTCGATCTTTTCTTCGATACACTATAATTTGGTAAAAGTATACTTTATTTATTACTTGGTATTTACTATATATATATACACCGGATATTCTATTTAACTTTATCACTGTAAACATTTCCTCTTCCTTTTTTTTTATTTAATGGACCAAAATATTCAGGATTAAATTAAGTTATTTCAAGATGCACATATAGCGATGGAATTGATTTTTTTTTAAGATTAATAATTCAAATAAATATACATGCATTATTATTTTTATAAATTCACATGCACTTAATACGATAACGTAGCTTTAAAACAATGTAATTTACTTCGAAGTATTTTTTTTTTGTCATGAAAGTAAAAATTACGGAAATATTTCAGATGACAAAGTTAGGTTTATCTTGTATATTATGTATTTTATATAAAATGTAAGAAATGTGAAAAAATATTTATAAAAATGTTAATACTCACCTTGATATCATGCATAAGAAACGTAATCAATTGTTTCGATATAAGTTGTTGAATTTTTTCACGTTTATGAAGATCATCGTAGAATTTTGTCAATCTTTTCCATTCTTCCTCACACTTGATCAAATTTTGTTGGCACTTAGCTTTATTCCACTTACACAAATACTTGTATTCAACGTCAGAAACTATTTTCTGTTTTTCATTTTCATTCTAACAAGCATTGAAAAGTAGAGTGGAGTTTCAAGGGGAGGATATCGTAGGGAAAGAACTTTTTTCTTTGTTCCGACATAATACCTTTAAGTCGAGCAGTATATTCCTTAGACGGGTTCTCTCCACTTCATTGCTCATTTTTTCGTTGGCGAGAGTTTGTCGAAGTTCCATAGCTGTTTTTTTCATTGACGTACATTTTTCGAATAAAGTCTCTTCTTCTTTTCTACGCTTCACGATTCTTTCAATTTCTTTAGTCAATACATCGAAACTACAACTCTCGCGTATTTCTTCCTTCAATTTTTCAATAATACTTCTCACGTATAAGCTAAAAGTTAAAAAAAAACAAAAAACAAATATCGAACGAATTAAATTTGATAATATAAATTATGCACACAAATAAGATTAAAATTTAAAACGAAGCTTATCGTTTGAACCTATCGTTTTGTAGTTTAGTATACGTAGCTTGTTCTTGGATATCTTTTATCATTTTTTTCATGTCCTCGTTAAATATTTCCTTATCCGTTGTTTCCAAGTTTCTACAAAAGAAAATAACGAAGAAAAAAATATGAAGTTACGTTCTAAGGAAATATTATTATATTATTTATTTTGATTTTATTTACATACTGGAGTTCGTAAAGAACATAAGGAACTGTCGTGTTTTCCGATTGCTTAAAAACCTTTTTGAGTGTTTCTCGATAAATAACGAGCGCATTCGTGCAGTCTTCGAATATCGTTGAAAGAGCAGCCATTTCCGAAGGGGAAGGTTTGGATAAATTATATACTTGCTTCTCAGCCATCGAGTACCTTACAATTAATTAATCTCTCTCTTTCTCTCTTTCTCTTTTTCTTTTTTCTTTCTATTAATTTAAAGGAATGCAACAAGTAGATCGGATCATTAACGGGGAATATTCTTTTATCTTATTTCAGGAAACTTATAAAATTTATAAATGCAATATTTGTAAGTATATAAATGTAGCTTGTATATAAATATATACATATATAATAGGTTCAAACAAAAATTTTATTTGGTTGGTCTAACAGCAAAGCAGTTGAGAAGCATAACTGACACCACTCACACATACGTCCTATCTATTTAAATTCAACAGACAGACCAATTTATCATACGTTCGTGTAGTTCGTGAGAAAACCGTCTAGTTTCGATTTTTCCTACTATACCGTTTATCTATTATTTTTATCCAACATATCTCTACGTAGAATTCCATCGCAGTATTTCAAATGTTTCTCTATGTTTCGCGAGTCACAAGTAACGAGACCTTTTCATTTTAATGCGCGACGTTTAATCCATGATTCCTGCAATTTTACGTATACACCTTTATAGGTGCGTATAAGTGTAAAATATATGTATAGGCGTTTGATTAATTTATATACATACAATATTGAATTACGTCGATCGTATGACTAATAGAAACGATTCGAATACGAATGGTTCTACTTACATTGACGAATTTCAAGATATCCGAAATAAGATAAACATTTGTATGACGTATATTGATCGATCTCGATATAACTAATGTTTTATAATAGTGCACCATAAACTTCACCTGCTAGAGTGGTTGCTGAGAAACGTTTTTAATGGTGAAAACGGTTTGATCTATCGCTTGTCGTTGCTCTAGCAACCATAACAGTCAGAACGCAACTTATACACCTATGTATTTACAGTATTTATCATCCTTGATCATGTTTGCCACTGTGAAAAGCTTTTTTAAATAATTATACTTTAATATTTTCATTTTCATTTTACGTTAGTACATGTCTATCGTATAAAAGGATATTAAAGGAAAAATAACAATTTAAAAAATGATGATTAAATAGGATGAGACTATTATTAAAAGTAGGAATACAATTCTTTGAATAATATGAAAAAGTCGTTGGATTTCTTATCTACTATTTTAAATTGTTAAAAGTTACTTTAGTAAGAATCATTTTGTGTGATAAATCGATCGTTTTAATTGAATAAAATTTATACCTTTTGAGTAGAAGTGAGAGAATGTTTTCAAAACTTTTCTTACGAGGGAAAATTTTACTAATTGTCAAATTTGAATTAAACAGTCTAAGACTATTTTATAGAATTAGTTAAAAATAAGAAAATTAAACAAGTTAATATAAGATTTGAAATAACAAACATTCATTCTAATTATATAAAATAAAACAAATGAAAATATTCAAATAAATAAGCATATATTTTTGTATTATTACGTAAAATAAGGTTTCCTGGATTATATTAAAATAAAATAAAATGATAAATTATTCCTAATTTGAACAAGTAATTAATTTAATTACTTTTGAACTCTTGTCAATATGGTGGCAATTTGTATATTCCATTTTAAGAAATGGGTCCTTACCCCTAGTGACGAAGAATTGAACTAATGTTTGTTTAAACGGACAGAATTTTCCGGTAGATCTTATAATTAGGAAAGTATTGATTCGGAGGATTTACGAAAATGAAAAATGTTATTCTCGAAAAGGAGAATCTATTTCATATTATATAACGGTCTCGTTACCTGAAAAACTTTAATTATTAATCCTTCTTAAAGAGTTTTTTAAATGTCAGGAGTATATTAAGAAAGAAAGTTCGAGGAAATCAGTCGAAGTCGACAGCTGTTGAGCTGGCGGCTGTCATATATATATATATATATATACGTATTCTTTCACGTTAGATCTTGGAAAGAAAATTTCATTGGAAAAAAAGTCTTGTGGACAGAAGGACTTTCGCTTCCGCTTAGGTTTGTTGTCGATAGAAAAGAAGAGGCCACGGAGCACGTACAGCTTTGATTGGAAAAGTTCCACACTCAGGAGACTTTAATTGAATCTGCATTGTCTAGGAGGTCCCCTCTTGAACTGTCACAAAATTAGCCTCGTTTTTTCCCTCAAGGACGTTGAATTCTTCGAAAAATAAATAGAAAAAGAACTTTCGACTTCACTCTTCGCTATGATTTTACCGATCTACCAATAAGATCGAACTTTCTTTGACGGATTTTTACCTAATTTTAAGGAAGAATAAAGCTAGAAATCTGTAAACATTCATTGTTCTTTAATTAATATTAAATGACGTCTAATGAGGAAAACAGTATCGTATAAATCATAGGAATGTTATTATTCATGATTAAAACATTATTACAATTATTCAAATATTTGTCTTTTTTCGTTTGTTTGTCCGTATTTACTATTCTAAATCTATTGTAAATTTCGTAGATCCAAATTCGTCTATCGTCTTAAACTCCGTGAGATAAGATACCAATAGGGAAACAACGTAAATCAAACAGAATTCTTTGAATCAAATCTTGATTTTCCAAAGTTTGAAAATTTACAAATAGAATTGTCATTTACGAAACAAACAATGAAATAAAATCAATCAATCCGTTGACAATCTAAAACAAAATGAAATAGATATTTTTGGTTTTGCAAGTATATTAACAATTGTCAAAATTTGGTTCGAAATTGAAAAAAATAGGCGGGAGAGTGGGCGAGTCGGCGAGGGTGGCGCGCTCTGTCGAATGGCGCGGTAATTTCGAAATGGGCCAGAGAGGGGCGCGGCGGAGGGTGTGCGCGAGGGAGGAGGAAACGAGGGTGTTCGGCGTGTTTTGGCCGGGACGCTTGCGTATTCGCGAGGGCGGTGTCGGTGGTGGAAGGTAGCAGCAGCAGCAGCAGCAGTAGCAGCAGCAGCAGTAGCAGCAGCACCACCACCAGCACTACTACCACCACCACCATCACCACCACTAGAGAAGCAGCAGCAGGAGGACGTTTTTGAGGCTTCGTGCCTCACTTCCTTGCTCGCTCGCTTGCACGCTACTATTTCTCGTCTCGTTCTTGGCGAGACGACGACGTGACTCGTTTCCTCCATTTTTTATCGTTGTCATTGTTGTCGTTGTCTTACGTCGTCGTCGTCGTTGTCATCGTCTCTTCGTTTACGTCGAACCTGTTTTTACATCGTCCTCATTTACAAAAAAAGAAAAAGCGAATTTGTTACACACTCACCACGTACACGTATATTTATATGGATATGTATATATTATATATATATATTGTTTGAAGGAGATCAAAAAAGAGAAAAGGAAAGAAAAACCAGCAGGGGTAGTAGTGCTGGACAGTTCTCGTTGTCGATGTCGTCGCGTATCGTCGCGCTTCGTGCACGTTCGTCGCTCGCGCCACACTCGAGAACGCGTCGTCGTCGTCGTCGTCGCGAGAAGGCCGCCTCTTCGTACGCGGTGTTCGGTACGACACTCGACAGTCGTCTCGACGCCACGAACGAGCGCGCTTCTTATTATTCCTACTTGTCGCTTCCTTCTACAATTCTTCTAGCTTCTGTTACTACCACCACTGCCATCACCGCCGTCGGAACAACAACAACCTTCCTAACAGCAGCAATCGTCGACAAGGATTCATTACATTTTCTACGATCGAACGTAGACGACGACGACAACAACAACAGGAAAGGAAACTGAGGTTCCCAGTAGTATTTAACGGAAATAACAAACATTACCCCTCTCTCTCCCACCACCAATCAACAACCGTGTCACATTTCGATTTATTCTATTATTTATTATTCTCTTATTATTATTCATTTTGATCGCGTGACACACACGCGCGCGTGTCGATGTACTCCCACTACTATCATAATTACCACCACCACCACTACTACCACTACTACTACCTACTACCACCATCACCATCAGCTGCCACCGTTGGAAGCTCGTTGCCGCGGCAGGAGGCAGCACAGCTCCACGCAATACACCCTTCTACATGGTGGAATTTAAGGTTATAATCTCGACGTGTATTATTTTGACGCGTTGATACGTCCACCTCGTCGTTTGGCATCTTCTACTTCTTCTTCTTCTTCTTCTTCTAACTACTGTTATCATCCACTACGTCGATAACTTCGTCATTGTCATTGTCATCGTCTTCGTCGTCCTCGTCCTCATCGTCGTTGTCATCGTGGACATCACATAGCACATCTGCGAGTGAGTAATTTATTCATTTTTTAATTATTATTTCCTTTTTACTGTCTTACTTCAACCACCTTTTTTGTCTCCCTCTCTCTCTCTCTTCGTGAAAATTGTTCTTTTTATTGGATCGAAGGGTTTATCTTAAAGTTTAAAAATAAAAATGTAAAAGTATAAAAACGTTATGTTCTCGTTGTTTCCCTTGAAAATCTTTCTTGGGATTTATTATCGTCCCGCGCCCAACAGACAGACGGAAAGAGAGATAGAGAGAGAGAGAGAGAGAGAGAGAGAGAAAGGAAGAGAGGGAGACAGTCATGGTTAACCTAGTTGCGAGTTTTTGGAACGCCCTCGTGTTTACGCCGCGCGACACAACGTATAACTCGTTTAAATGTGTGCGGTGAAAGTTTCGGCCGCGGTACGCCGATTACGAATATACACGTCCAAAGATTAAAAATCTTATGATTATCATTTATTCACACACAGATATGTGTGTATGAGAAACAATCCGAGAAAATGTCGCCCCACTTTTCTTTTATTAATAATTTTATATCTCATTTATTTATTTTTCTCGTTTTTTTTTTTAAGAATAAATATTGCAACTTTGGAAATGTCGTTTTCCTATTATTTTCTTTTTTTCTTTTTCTTGTTCCGCTCCAATAAGATTTCTATTTAGATTACGATGATCAGTTTATACCTAGCTACCTTTCGAACGAAACTCGGCATCGATTTTCGAAGTAAGGAATGACAAGTTATGTATGCACTATGTTGGAAGAAATGTTGACATACACAAGAAATGAAAGATCCTGGTTGAAAAAGGAGGTGGGTGGGTGGGTGGTAGTAGTTGGAAAAAGTTTTCGGTAAAAGTTTCTTCGAGAATTTGCTGACGACAGAACGGAACTATTCAATTTGATAATTCGACGAAACAATTTTATAAATTTTTCTTAAGTATACATATAGAAATAGAAAGAGAGAATAGAAACGTTATTTACTAAAATCATTTCGATTAAAATAATTAAACCTTTGAGTGCTATGGACGCATATATGCGTTTGGTAAAAATGACTAATCCTATCGTTCGAAGCATGTACGTGTTTGTTAATATTTATGTATATAAAGTAATTTAATATTTATATTAATTAATTTAATTATATTCAAAAACAAAAACTTTAATTATTAAATATAATTTATTATTAATAAATTATTCTGTTCCTACAAAACATTTTTGGTAAAAGTATTCAGCACTCAAAGGATTAATTTTATAAAATATATTTACCATAAGAAACACATAATATAAATGAAATATTTTATTTAATTGACTTTAAAGTAGACCAATTTGTATTTTTTTATTTTACAGTAACAAATAGTTCTTTTTTTATTGTGCTATTTTCGGAAAAAAATGGATGACGGTATTTTTTGTTTAAAATTCTTTTGAAGTATTTGATACAATGACGTAACGATGAAAGAGCCTCGTTAACGTAGACCCTTAATGCATTACTCCCTTTAATTAGTCGATTGACCAACCAATAAATGGAGCCTATGGATGATCGCTTTAACACTCACCTGCAGCAAGTCGTAATCCCTTGATTGACTGGTCAATGATCGCAAGCAATCAGGTTTAATGTTGTCTCTCGGAATTATCGTGTTAATTGATACAAGTGTCACGTGTATCTACCATCTCGTTTGTTACATGCGAAAGAAAATTGAATAGTTATGTAATTTATATAAATCTTTTGTTTATTATGAATTAAAGTTATAGATAAATGTGCCCATAATTATGAAAGTTGTCTAAGTCATGTATTTCTCGATTCGAAATATTTCAAGATTTATATTTGAACACTGTATGAGTTCTATAAAATATTGAAATAACAAACATTATCTAACGATTTATTTTTGACAATATCGTGAAAATTACATTGAATTTATTTAGTTTTAAATAATATGGTGCATAATAACTGATAAACTGATTTTTTTTTTCATTTTGACTTAGATCACTTTTATAATTATGGGCACAAATGTTCAACTTCGTTTAGTGTCAAAAAAACATGTTCATATATGTTACACACATGTACATATAGACACACATTTGAAATTCGTATTGCACTAAAAAGCTGCTTGAGCATTCGAAAAGCATTCGTAACAGTTTCGAGCATGTGAAACGTCTCTTTCAAGAGAGCATGGTCCAAGAATCTGCAGTTAGCGTGGAATGGAAGCGTCGTCACGAGGGTGTGATTCTCGAGATTTTCAAGTGGAAAATCGTAACAGGCAATTGTCTAAAACGTGTCTTTATCTTAAAATCCATTCAAATCAACTTTTATCTACATGATTAGATTTTTAATCGTTTTACAAAATTACGGTAATTTATTTTTTATTGCTTATTTAAGAAAATATGACAAAAGTGTTGCGAATTAATTTAACAAAAAAAAAAAAAAAACAAATAGTATGCTTAGAAAATTGTTATTACACGTAGTATTATTTTTTTGTTTTTATTTTTATTTTTATTTTTATTTTTAACGAAACATTCCATTTGTTCGTAGCTTAAAGTTTATTTGTATGAATTGTTAGTAAAGTAATTGAATTTTTAATTTGATTATCAAACGTGATTTTTTTGTAAATAACAATATTTCATTTTTTATTCTACAGCTATAAAATTTTGGAGAAGTTTAGATAACTCGAAAAAAAAGAACGAAAATTAAAATATTCGATTTAGTGAATTGATATTACTCGTACTATCTGTTTTTTTCGTAGCCTTAGGGAGAAACAAGGGTTGGTATATATATATACAGTTTTTATATCCTTTCTGGAGTTTTGTCCTTCCGGCGGAAAACTGTGGAAACTTAATATTAAATCCTGAATTTAAAAGCACAGTACAGCTTGACCATAATGGAGGTCGTCTTCCAAGTGGCTCTAGGCAAACGGTATTTCTGCTTTCGTTTCACCCTAGAAAATGGGGTTCCCCTTTTACGATACGACTCTCTATGTAGTTTAAGTCAGCTGAACTAAGAAAGAATGAAATTTTTCAAAGAAGATTATGAGGTTTGATAAAGTAGTTTATCGTTCTTTAAATGTATTATAATATTTATATCAACTGTGATATATTATCACAATTACATCAGTCAATTTATTTTAGTAATAAATTTTGTTACATTTCAATCAGTTATACGTTAATATATGATTAAAAATTATAATTATTATATTTAATAAAATATATTTAGAGAATTCACAAATTCACAATTATTATTACAATGTTTATAATTGTAATATAATTTAATATATTAAATTATAATATACTATAATTATATAAATATAATATAAATTGTAATATATTAAATTATATTACAATTATTATTAAAATTATATATATATTATATATAAAAATTTAAAAATTATAATTGGATAGTTATATAATTTATTAGTTTATATAATAAAATTAATATAATAAAATAATAAATAAAATTTAACTAATAGTACAACTAATAAATTATATAGTTATATAATTTATTAGTTTATAATTTATTTTAGTTATACATACTATATATTTTAATTCATAATATTATAAATATTATATTACAATTATAAATAAAATATATTAAATTATATTACAATTATATTTAGAAAAATTAATTTTCTGTAAATCCTAGCATTGACTTTTACTACTTTTTCTTATATTATTTTACATATACGCGTGAAATGCATTTACGTAGACGTATACTTTAAAAACAATTTTTATAATAGCTAATGTTTTTTTCTTTAATACATAATTCAAGAGTTTAATGAAAAAATATTGTTATAAATACTGCAGTGATGATCCATCCCTCCTTTATACTGGGAAAAAAAGGATTAAATTCAAATGTTTTTTTTGAACACTTAGAAATACATACATATTGCTTTTAAATCTGTTTTGAAAAGGATCCTACCTACCCTCCTATCTCGATCTAGGTGTTGTAACGTGTAGAAAATTTGTATAAAACGAAAAGCAAACATTTCTTTCAATCTCCGTTAACGTCGAAACTCTACTATCAACAAAAATATTTTCCCAACAATGATCGATGTTTCTTCATAAGCGCGTTCTTCTTCTTCTTAAAGTTCAACCCCCATCCCTCTCGTATACACACACGTATCGTACGATAAACCCTCGTGGAAGAATGTCGTACAATTTTCGAGTACAAAGGGTTTCACAAGATGATAACCGTCATTTTACATTTTATATACCTAATAATTTAGCTACGGCTTTTTCTCGTCGTTCTACTTTTATCCTTTCTTTTTTTTTCTTTTTTTCTTTTACTTTAATAAAATCTTATTATCTTTCGTTACATATCTATTTCATCTCAAAAATTAAGATTTCGATCTTCCGATCAAGGAAGAAGAAGTTTTGTAACAAAAAAATAGCAAAAAGATAAATAGATAGATAGATAAAATGATTCTCACGTACAAAGTTAAAAAAAAACAAAATGGCGTAAGGTAAAATTTGAAAAAAGAAGAAGAAAAAAAAATGTAAACGTGAAAAAAGTCACCCCTTCGTTCTGATAAGAAACTATAAACGAGTTTTAAAAAACCCAACCCTCTTTTTTTTCTCATCGGCTCGTTTTGCACCTTTTTTCTTTTTCTTTCATTTTCTTTTTTTTTTACCCCTCTCTCTCCCACTTTTATTCCAACGATAAGACTCCTGATACGTGTCCTTTGCTCTTTACGCTTTTTCTCGATAAAAATCAATGATCTATCGTTGTACGGGGATATAATGTGTTCCTTTATTTTTTTTTCTTTTTTTTTCTTCTTTTTCTTCTTTTTCTTTCTTTTTGCCGCACATCTCGCGCGCACCTAAGAACGTCGTTAAATCTCGTCAAATGGTTTTTACGAAACGATCCGAACTCATGGATCGTAAGTTCGAACGTTACGATTTTTATCTTAGCATTTTCTTTTTTTCTTTTTTTTCTATAAAATTGAAGGTTTTTAAAACGACGTCATTGACTTTATAATTTTATCGTTATTATTATTATTATTATTATTTGTTTAACAGTGTTTA